TTGTTAAGCTGCCACAGGAGAAAACAGCTATGAACAGAAGATGAGACCAAGCAGCCCAGAAACCTTCCCAAACAGTGAGATCTATTCAGATTATATATCAGAAAAGATTGTCCCTTATGAACAATTAGAATAAAGTAAACTAATTGTCTATGTCTGTCTCCTACAAGAAAAAAAAATACTTGCTTCAGTAGCACAGTTTTTCCACAAGGTGCTTGCTGCAGGACAGCAGCCACTGTCCTCCCTGTTCTGCCCCTAATTTGACTTCTTAAGAGTCAGACAGAAAATATATTTCCTCGTAAACCTTTCTTCAGAGCATGGAGACTCCCTTCCCCCCCGGTGCCATGGGACTCCACAGTGCAGACAAAATCTCTGCACAACTGAGGTCAATGGAAATTCTGCCACTACTCTTACCAAAGCAGAAAACTCCCATTTAATTCACTGAATCTAAGATTTCATTGCCCGTGGACTCATCCTCTTTCAAGCTCACTCTTGTAATCAGAAGCATTCCTTAAAGCTCAGGGCAGAAGAACTGGAAAAGTCTGTGCAAGTACTACTATTATTCATGGGTATTTTTTCCTCTATCTACCTTTGAAAATGGAGAACCTACTGTCCTCGAGTTACAATTTTCAAGATTAACAGCACTTACAAATTATTTCATGAACCTCGCTATGAAATAAGGCATCTGAGTAGGCTGGCAACTAGACAGTGCTGCCAGAAAAAAACATGGGAGTAACACTCATGAAATCAGCAAGAAACAACAAAAGAACATGGAAAATGAACTAACACATTCCAAAATGCCATGTTTGGGCATGAAGTGCATGCGCGCATGCACTGGGTACCTGTACCTCACTTACCAGGTAAGCTCGCACTGTTTAAAGGTAAGGCTGCATTTAAGGAAGAGACTTAAAGAGTCTGCGAATATAACCCATATTATAGCAAGACTAAATTGCATTAGGGTGTGAGGGAGGCCTGGCTGATCCCTGGGGGCTGGCAGCAGCGGGGGCTGGAGGGGGGGACATGGGGACGGGGCAGCACACCCCCAGCCCAGAGCAGGGCAGCTGGGGGCACCTGGGCAGCCCCAGCCCAGGCATCAGGCACCTCCCTGGGCACGGGCCACCAGCCCATGGCAGACATAACCTGACTCATCGAAGCAACACTCACGCTTAAGACAACCCGTGGCTTTCCACTGGAAGATGAAAGTTCAGCTCTACCAGCATGCAACGTCAAATTGCTGAAAGT